TGCGGTTAGTTCCATCAAAAAAGTCCTCCACAAAGGCAAACTTCTACCAATCCTGGAGTTCCCTTGTCTTCTAGATTGGATTCAATATTACAAGAGTTGAATATGAGTAGCCGTCAGTCCAAAATTGGGTCAGCTGTTCAACGACGGTTATAAAATAAAATAAAGACCTGCAGACAAAATAAAAAGTATTTAGTATGAAATGAAATTGCATTCCGTTTATTTACTCGAATAAGCGGAATGCAATTTCTGGATTCGATGTTATGTTTTCGAAGGCTGGTGGGAACATTGGGAAGAGTGCTTTCAAATAAATTTTAATTTTAACTGCATTTTTTTCTGAGAAAATTTGCATTGTCTGTTTTTTTCCTTTTCTTCATTGATGTTATATATTTGAATAATTACAAAAAAAAAAAAAAAAAANAAAAAAAAAAAAAAAAAAAAAAAAAAAAAAAAAAAAAAAAAAAAAGGCAAATAAAATTAGATAAACAATAATACAGAAATGCGTTATTGGGAATAGTTCAGGGTTGCTATTTATATTTCTGGCCTAATAATGAAAAAACAAATATGTTGGATCGAAATTGGTTTTATTGTTTTTCAAAATATTCTCCATGATGATCAATACACTTTTGCGAGCGTTTAAACTAATTTTTAAAGCACTTTTACCAGTCCGATTGAGGTAATGAATGCATCAACCGCTTTTTCGGGGATCGAAAATCGTTGTCCACTTAATTTATTTTTGATGTGTGGGAATAAGAAGAAGTCATTGGGTGCCAAATCAGGGCTGTACGGCGGATGACCCATCAGTTCGATCTTTCGCTCCGTCAGAAATGCCTTTGTTTGAGTCGATGTGTGAGAGCTCACATTGTCATGATGAAGAATGATTCGCCTGTTCTTCTGCTTTCTTCGAATTTCTCCGATGACTTCTGGCAAACAAATGGTCGTGTACCATTCAGAATTGACCGTCCTGCGTTGCTCTAACGCCACTGTTGCCACATGACCGTTAATGCCGAAGAAACAGGAAATCATTTGTTTCGATGTGCTTCTTCCTCGAACAACTTTTGTTGATTTTGACTCGTCTTGGAAGACCCATACAGTTGACTGCTGTTTTGTTTCCGGCTCATAGGCGTAGATCCATGATTCGTCACCTGTGTAGATGTTATACACAGGCTTTGATGTACCTTGAACGTATTTTTCCAACATTTCCTTGCACCAATCGACACGAGTCTTTTTTTGAGCGTTTGTCAGATTATGCGGGATCCAACGCGANTTAAACACACGAACTCTTGGACATAGGCCCAGAGCCCTGCACCGAACAGGCTATCCCGGCCTTCATTATAAGCATTAGCAAATTCTTCATTCATAAATTCTTCATTAATATAATTAAAATATTCCCGTATTTTCGTTTTGTTCAAAGTCCCGCAGTGAACTGATCGTTAAGACACGGTTCCCAGCAGATCACCGACGTCAAGCATCACTGGCTGCGGTCAGTGTGCGGGTGCGTGATCACTTGGATCAGTCTGTGTAGGGGCCGAGTGTGTGCGGTATGGGTCCTCGTTAAACTCTTCTACCGTAAAGGGCTCGACTTCGCGTGCAGGTCGTCGGGCTACCACCCCCTCTGCAGAGGATCAAAATTGTGATGGCATGTCTTCGGATCATCCTGAGGGATGTTTCCCAGACCGTCGCCAATAGCCCATTGTGCAGCTCTAGTGTGACGTAAATGAACTACAACAATCGTTTTGTACAAAAACTCGCTGATATCAGCGATGGATGGCTCAGGGAATAGAGTGTTCGCCTTCCATCTAGGTGAATCGGGTTCGAATCTCAACGATGATCGATACGAATCCGCATCCGGCTCGCACCGATCACAATGCTGACGTAAAATATCCTCAGTGGTAGACGGATCATGGGTCCCTTTGCCGTCAAGTTAACCGAGGGAAGTTTTCGTGGTCTTTCTCTTCATGTAACGTAAATGCGGGTTAGTTCCATCAAAAAAGTCCTCCACAAAGGCAAACTTCTACCAATACTTGATCCAGGAGTTCCCTTGTCTTCTGTATTGGGTTCAATATTACATGGCTACGGAGTTGAACATTAGTAGTCGTCAATCCAAAATTGGGTCAGCTGTTCAGCGATGGTTATGAAATAAAATAAAGACCAGCAGACAAAATGAAAAGTATTTAAGGTGAAATGAAATTGCATTCCGTTTATTCACTCTAATGTTATCATCTGGATTCGATGTAATGCTTTCGAAGGTAGGTGGAGTTGGTCTGGAACATTGTGATTATTATTTTAATAATTATTAAAATAATATATGTGAAATAATTTTTCATTTTAACTGCATTTTTTTCTGAGAAAGTTTGCAATGTCTGCTTTTTTCCTTCTCTTCATTGATGTTATACATTTGAATGATTACAAAAAAAAGCAAATTAACTTACATAAACAATAATGCAGAGGTGGGATTTTGGGAAAAATTGATTTTAAAAAAAAGTAGTGAATTCAACTGTCGTAACGATTCAATATAACATTTCTGCAATTAAATTTTTTAAAACATTTCTTTTCGAATATCCAGTTACTAAAAAGAAATAATTTCGGTTATTTCTTTGTTCTAAATATCAAATTTTCATGTACATAATGATTTAGGGGGTGATTTCTTCGGGGGGGGGGATTAATGAATGAAAGCAGACGATATCGACAGTTACGACACAAAGATATACTTTCGCTGAATAAACATAAATTTTTTCAGGCCGATTTTAAAGCCAAGATATAGGGCCACAATCTGGAAAATAAGGATGTGTTGGAGCCTTAACACTTTCTGCGTATTTCACTGTACTTTTACTACTAGTGGAACACATTTTAACACACAATTATAACATTTGTTTTATCCAAATATAATTTTTTGTAAAAATAATTTTTTTTAATCATTATTTATTATTTTTTATTGTTTTATTTAATAATAGTCAAAAAAATTTCAGTTGCGGGTATGCAAATTTTTACATCATTTTAAAGAATTCTATTTAAATAGCAAAATGTAAAATTAAAACAAAATCGGCACATTTTAAATATATGTTGTTGTTTTTTCTTTTTTACCACGTTTATATCAACTTGCCTTCGTGTATGTCTGTTCGGGTGGAATTTTGTAATCGATTTTAAACTAACTTTACGACTAGTTACAGATTTCAAATTCGGCACATAGTTCAGAATTGGATGGCAATGAATGAAAATGAAGAGATAAAAAGACATATAAAGTAAAATTAAAGAAAAATCAATATTTTGTTGTCGATTCGATTATTTCAAATGAGTGTCACATGTCAGTTGAAAAGTTTTGTGTACAGTGAGTGAAAAAATTGAGATTTTGGAAGTGAGTACAAAAAAAAAATCGAAATAAAAAATATTTTTAGAAACCACGCTTTTGTAGTGGAAAATAATAATTAAAAAATAAAAATTTGAAAAACGAAAAGCGTGGGGCGCATGAAATACATAACAGTACATATGCACATACATATACACATTTTCTTACTCCTACACATGCACATTCACATACACATACGCATGCATATACACAAGCATATTCCACATACACTTCCACATGCATATACAATTACAGATATGCATACACATATTCTCATGAGCACACATTCACACACTAATATAACATTACTGTTATGTATTTCATGCGCCCTACGTTTTTCGTTTTTCAAGTTTTTACTTTTTAATTATTATTCTCCACTACAAAAACGTGGTTTTTAAAAATATTATTTTTTATTTCGAATTTTTTTGATGTTCGACTTTTGGATAAACGAATTTTATAATGGTATGCAAAAATATTTGGAAGTACTGGAGATATAGGCAAAAAGTAAAATTAACATTAATAAATTCGTAACTTTGGATCGCTGTCCTAAGTAAACTGTTCGATTCCAAATTGCGGCTACCCCCATACCTTAGGAGTCTGAAAGCAATATCCGTTGGAAAAAAAGGCATGTTCATTCAGAGAAAAAACGCTTATGTATCTGAAATTAAAATATAGTCTGCACTAAGTCATTTAATTTTATAACCGTTGTTGAACAGCTGACCCCATTTTGACAACCCAATTACGCCTAGCAATGCTCAACTCCGTAGCTTTGTCATTTTAAACCCAATTCAGAAGACAAGGGAACTCTTAGATCAATTATCGAAAGAAAGATTGTGTTCGTGGAGGACTTTTAGAGGGAACTAACCCACACTTGCGTTACATGAAGAGGAAAACTACGAACATCTCTCTGGGTTAGCCCGATGGAAAGGGGAGTCTAACCCATGACGCGTCTAGCACTGTGGTCGGTGCGGACCGGGTGCGGAATTCTTATCAAAGAGCCATGCCAGCGGCTCACCTCATTGTGAATCTCTTGAGACCCCACGGCTGTTGCACTAAGCCCTTTCTAAGGCCGTATACTTACCACCAATTTGAACTTTTTTACCACTTTAAATCCATTTGTTAAGAACTTCAGCTTTCTTGAAGTGGTAGCCATTTGTTAGTTTAAGGAAACGTATAAAAGTTATAAAATACGTAACTCCCTCTGAAGTTTGTAGCACTTCTAAAATATATTTTATAAATAACAACAAAAAAAAATCAATAAGTTCCTAACAGGTGGTAAATATACTTGAAAATTTAGATTAATTTTTGCTTAGCTAAATGAGTTTTTCTTCTTATCTGAATTACTGTTCTTATATCAATTCCAAAAATACTTTTAATTTAATTTTACTGGAAATAAATGTCCCATTAAAGGGTTGACACATTCCCCTTGAACCGATAGTGACCAAACGTTATTCCACTTTCGAAATTTCTGTTGTTGTTGTTTCTAATGCCACTTGCCACTCGGGCAATCCTGCTTGGTGAAACCAAGCAAATTTAAGGCAGAGTGTGCGTTTCTTGTTTTTCAGTGGCGCCATCTATGACCAATAATTTGACTTATGCCACACTCGAAATTTGTTTTTTAGCAATATTGTGCTTATGAATGAATCTTCTTCTTTAGGGTTCGAAGGAATGCCCCTGAACACCCCGTGTTGGAATCCTGCAAACTATTCCTCTTGTGCTCAACAGCAACAAGAACAGCAGCATCAGCAATGGGATGATCTGCAGCCAATGGGAGAGTTTTCACCACAGAATCATCGCATGATGGATTCCCGCTGCACAGAATGGGGTGGAGGACAACAGCACTGCTTGACCACTTCATTGGTGGATCCTCATCATCAGGCGGACTCACTCCAGCCACCCTGGTTGGTCAACAGGTGGCAATGCTTCTGAAAAATCCTGCAGGACACGTGACATGTATTTTTTAAAATATGGATGGTTGACCGAGTAAAGCTGAACACAGATGGCGCTACTGGTTAAAATTCGACGCAAGCTGTAGTTCATTTACGTCGCGCTAGAGCTGCACAATGGGTGACTGTCTGAGAAACATCCCTGAGGATGATCCGAAGACATGCCATTTTGTTCCTCTGCAGAGGCACCCCCGCTTCGGTAGCCCGCAAGTGAAGTCGAACACTTTACGGTAGAACAGTTTAAAGATATTTGGGGTAAGACTTGCAGATGACTACTTCCAATTGATTTTTACGTTTGAGCTTGAAAAGATCCAATATTATTATACTTGTAGTGCTATAACGTGTTCTTTCAATTTAAATTTTAACGAAACAAACAACATATCCAGATATAGCAAAATAAGGTTTATTTTAACTCAGCAGAAATCTTTTAATGTAAACCTGAAAAAGGATTGTTATGTGGTTTACGTATAAACCTTAAAACGAGATCTGTGACTCTATTCTACGCACATTACCCTCATCCCAAACCCTGGAAAACAACCTTCTGTATAAATAGAGGTTGACTCAGGGTTTTCAAGCTTGTAAAAATCCTTGAATAAAGATACTCTGAAGGTGAAAATAACCTTAGATCTAGGTCATTATAAGGTTTCTTGTATGTTCAGCTAAAATCTACCTTGTCATGAAATTTTAATGGCCATTGGATCTTATAGAGTGACGTCAGTTAAAACGTCATTATGGACCTTAAGTGACAATACTTTTTAGGAGAGCTTTTAAACCTTTTAGGAGGAAAGGTTTGAAAGTGCACTATTGTTGAAAAAAAGGTTTTTAGTAGAAACATTTTCGTGACACTAAAAGGAAAATTCCGAACACAAGGTGAGCTTTCTGGGTTGCAATATCCTTCAATATAAATTTCAAGGGAACAAACAACATTCGGAAAACTATGCTATGCCTAACGAGATGCAAAAGCAAATAAAAAATGATGAACGGAGCCAAATAAGGGATAATGCTCAAACCTTATTTATGTTGTGATATTCATTTTGCTAAACGTGTTTGAGGATCAAAACCTGTTAGAATTTATAAATGACAAAAAAACTTTTACTAATGGTAAAATGACGCGTCCATTTAAACACACGGAACATTATGAAAAGTAGTACGCCTGTTTGCTTATCGCCTCGTAATCATACCATAAGCGGAGGGATACATCGTAAACTACTTCCGGTTTTAGGAAGCTTGTTACTGTCTTATATTCAGTCAACCATCCATATTGGGGAATAAATCTCAATTTATTTATTTATTTGATGCAAGAAAATGAGCTTTTGATTGGTAAGTTCACAATCATAGGACTTCTGGTTTATATGAGGAAGTTGTGATCGGCTTATTACGATCACTCATTGGTCAAATGCTTTTTCTCATTCTGGATGAACTCCGTTAAACATTTCAAATCATCACAGGTCGTCGGATTGATTTTCCTATCCTGCCTATGTACGTGTTTCAAGACGTCACAAAATACTTTTCCTTCTTCTTCATTCATATATTTATATTGAAATCACCAGTCATTATACGTCAATAATAAAAAGAATATAAAAAATTCTTTAAATTATTATTACGTAAATACATTAAAAATGCCTGCCAGTGAAACAACAGCAGTCCCCATAGCAACGCATGCAGTGACGACGCATGCGCACTGTTTACTATGACTCTTGAACACGGTTAAAAAGTGTGCAGACGCCATCCAATCCAAACCATTACCCATTTTTGCCAATGGGTAACGAGTGAGAGTTAAGGTTATCACTTTTACCATTTAAGAAGAAGCTATGTAAACTTTGAAATCACTGATAATCTAAGTATATAGGAGATGTGACGTCACTTCCAAATAAAATTTTAAATAATCCTAGAATTGTCCATGCTGGATGACGATTCCTTTGCAATGAAGTTACCATGATTAATAGGTTCTTGTACAGACTGAATGACATTCGACTGATTGAAGCTCATTTTGTTGTATTGAAAAAAAAAATTGAGATCTATTTCACACTTAAAGAAAAAATGTGATTATTTTTTTCCCCAACTCCTGAGTACCTGAAATCACATGTGTATGCAGTCATTCGATTGACTTTTCTAGATTTCATTTAAAAATCCAGATGATCTGTGTTTTTTTTTTTTTTAAAATTCTCTGGCCATCACTGAAGGAAAAAATGAATGCTTATAGTCGCTCCTTGAAGATTATGTATTTTCGAAATTTGACTTTATTACTCTCTCTAAATTCAAAATAAATGAGATTTTGTCTTTCTTTAAGAAAATTGTATAATCAATAAAGAAAATAGTATAATCAATAAGGAAAATTGTTTAATCAATGAAGAAAATTGTATAATCAATAAAGAAAATTGTATAATCAATAAAGAAAATTGCTTAATCAATAAGAAAAATTGTTTAATCAATGACGAAAATTGTATAATCAATAAAGAAAATTGTATAATCAATTGAGAATTTTTGTTTTGTTAAATTGAACTCCTATGAAACAAGATTAAACTACAGTTCCAGGACATATTATTAGGAGCAACTCTAAGATTCTACGTAAAATCTTAATTATCAGGTGATACTCTATAGCAGTGGCCCGCGAAGCCTTTTTTTTGTGGCCCGCGAACTAAAATATATTAGTTGTCATTTTTTTACGGACAATTTTCGTAAAAAATCTATATGAGTTTGAAATACTTTTCTCGTTAATAAAAATCTAATTTCTTCGTTTCTGTGAAATTTAACGTACTAACAGTGCAAAAAATTTATTTCTCAGGTTTTGCATCCAAGAAAATATTTGCTCAAATAAAAAAAATAATTGTTTATGTTGCTCTTTTTTATTTCATTTTTTTTGTATTTTGTGAATATAATTTAGCGTGTGTGTATCAGAAATTTTCTCGAAGAAATTCTCCGATTTAACTTTTTGAAACCACTCATTTTGGACTAAAATAGTGACACACACATTTGTAAATTTTAAATTTAAAAAGTAAATATCTATTCTCTGGTGGTTGCAGCAGGCAAACCTCAATTTTGTCATTGATCATTTTGCGTGCGACTATATAAGTTTAATACCAACCTTTTTAAAGTTTTATGTCTTGACAATTAGATATCTATTGCACATTAATTGTTTAATACATGGGTGCACATTAAAGTTATTATAGCCTCAATTTTTTAATATGCAATTAAATATTTTCGAAAATCTACTTCTTATTTTAATTTGTAATACAATACTTTTGTTTTGTACAATCTGACAGTAATATTTAATGTTCCTACAAGCATGTATAGGAGTCCTACGTAAAATTTTGATTAAAGTTGCGGCCCGTGTTTTTAATAGTGGCCTTCATGTAAGTTGGAAACTCTATAGCTATAGAGTGCGACTGAAACCGGTTTGCACTAGTTTACGTTCTTATATCAATGGGTTAACATTGTAAAGCAATATCTTTATATAATATAAGAAGAGAGTGAAACGATAGCCCAATCACAGAACACTTGTAGTTAGCAAAACAGCCAATTGAAATTATGAACGAATTGTGTGTGAAAAGGTAATAATTTTTAATAATGCTGCTTGCTAAAATGTTACACTAAAATTACACTAACTAATAGTCTGCATTGAAGTAATAAAATACCGATTTTTCTATATATTGAATTATTTTTTAGCTGTCATTGGACCTTCTATGGGCCGAAACGAATGTTGCCCCCTAAAATTATTCCTCATAAGGCATACATCCCACTAGTTTATTTCAAAATTGGCGAGTCACACTTAACTGGTCTCCCTTCTAAGATTTGATCATTATTGAAAATATCACAAGACAAATTTTGTCTCAACTGAAAAAAATATTAAGAAATCTTCGTTCAAATTTAATTCACCTTAAAGATAATTCAAAATGTCTGCAAAAATTCTTAAGATATTCTAAAGAAATCTTAAGATGTTTTAAGGTGACATTAACTCAGAAACTGTTGTAAGATTTTTTTAAAGACAAACTTAGTTCACCTTCAAGATATTCAAAATGGCTATAAAATGTCTGCAAAAATTCTTAAGATATTCTAAAAAATCTTAAGATGTTTTGAGGTGACATTAACTAAGGAGACTGTCGTAAGATTTTCTTAATGCAAACTTAATTCACCTTCAAGATATTCAAAATGGCTATGAAATATCTGCAAAATTTCTTAAGATATTTTAAAGATAGCGTTAAATCTTAAGAAATTCTGCAAACTTTTGAATAATTTCTTAAGAAAATGATATTTTCTTAAGAGAATTTTAAGATTATTTTCAGAGGGGCATCTCTGAGCAAAAGTTCATAATCCTGCAAGTCGAATTGAGGAACATTTTGTTTAAGTTTGCAAATCTTCAAAAAAAGGGGATTATTAACTGTTTTTTTTTCTTCTTTTTTTTCCGATAAAAACACATAAATCAGAATCAAGCGAAATAGAAAAAAGTGATGCCCTAGAAAGTAAAATTGATGGAGAAAAGGAAAACTTAAAAAAAATCATCAAACTATTAATGACTCCAACAATGCTTAATTAATTTTTAAATATGGTTTTATTTCAAAGATAGTTGAAATAAAGCCATGACCATTAGTTGAAAACATTAGTTGAAATAAAACCATATGAAACCATGAACTGAAAATCGAAATAAATTTTTAAGAGAGCCCTGAAAAATCGCTATTCATGATGCTTGATTAACTGGTATTAGATACTTTTTAATAAGTGCCCATCATACATTGAGGATTTTGAAGGCTGAGTGCAATTGTCAGTGTTACGATTCTTAAGGATAAATGCCCGGCAGTGATGCATTTAAAATGTTACTGTCCCCTTCTAATTTCCATACATAAGATTCTTAATTGATTGCTAAAAATAAACCGATAGTAAAGTAACTATACACGAAATTTCATTTAGTTTTGACGATTTAAAAAATTACATTGCAATGAAAATTTTAATGACTCGGTTAACCCACCACCCAACAGTTTAACACGGAAAAAGTCAACCGTCGTTGAACACAAGACACAAATTTTGGGTATACGACTACTATTGTTCAACTCCGTAGCCTTGCAATTTTGAACCCGATCCAGAAGACAAGTGAACTCCTGGATCAGGCATTGGTAGAAGTTTGCCTTCGTGGAGGACTTTTTGATGGAACTAACCCGCATTTTAGTTACATGGAGAGGAAGACCACGAGAACCTCCCACTGTTAGCCTGACGGCGAAGAGACTCTTACCCGTGATCCGTCTGCCACTGAGGATATTTCACGTCAGCACTGTGGTCGGTGCAAGCCGGAAGCGGAATTCGCATCGACTGGGATTCGAACCCTGTTCGCCTCATTGGAAATGGAACGCTCTATCCCCTGAGCCATCTCGGCTCTATCGAATGTATGTTTCACGAAATACAGGGTTTACAATTTGATTGTTTTGATTGAAATTGATTGTAACGCTGACGAAAGCTTCTCTCCACTGCGATAACAGAATGACAGTTGTTAAATTCTAACATCGCAGAATGCGCAAGACTAATGAACTCGCGCAGGATTCCGCTATACTTACTGCTCTTTACGTAGAGAAAGTTCCATCTGCATTTTGTGTTAATGTTATAGATGAATTATTTTTCATTAAGTAGCTGTTCGTAAACGCTATATTCATTTTTAATTACCCAGTATAACGGAATTACAATGCTAGAAAAACGGTAGCAATTCATTCATTATATATTCTTATTTAAAAAAAAAATGGCGTTTAATTTAGGAAAAAGTTGATTCGTCTTTTGAACAAACAATTCTGCTTTCTAGAATATTACTATTATTTATATCATTAAGACAATCATTCGCTTTTTTTCCCTTCTTAAAAGTCGATAAATATAATCATTCTGTTCATAAAATATGTTATTATTTTAAGTAAGCACAATTTTAATAATGAAAGTATACTGGATGTACGAAACAATAAGAAACAAATGAGGAGCAATTATTATACGTATATGATGTATGATAAACATATATAACGGTTATATTATATATGATATCCTAATATAATATAACAGTTGGCATTGGAAGCAATTTTTATTTCTCCTATATTTATAAAAATTTCGATATAAATGTTTAGACTCGTTCAATCTCCTTCTTATTTTATTTATTCTCCTTTTTTTTTCTTCTCACATCCCGTCAATTAAAGTCATGCAAGCGATACATTTTTCCACATTCGGTACATTTTCGGATAAATAATTATGATTGAAAGAAAAGTACCTGAATTTAACATATTTTTCAAAGACATTGGAAGTTTGAATAAAAATCGTTTGCAAGTTTAGAATTCAAAATGGTCCTATGAACACGTCAAACTCTGTAGTTGTATTTCAGGGGTCAGCCAACATGTTTTCTTTTAACTTAAAAAGTTATGAACAATTAATAGGTGTGTAAAATTTTTATTCTCCCAAATGCCGTGTACATTTTTCTAAGAGCCTTCGTCATTTATAGTTTATGC